CAACATCTTTGTTGGTATGTGGTGCTGAGGATCGAACCCGGGCCGCACGCATGCCAGGCGAGCGCGCTACCACTTGAGCCACATCCCCAGCCCAAGGTTTATTTTCTTATGAAGAAAAAGGGAATGAGGCTTATCAAACTTAACCAGACTGAGGACGCTTTACCTTGGGGCTGTCTGCAGGACACTGTGGGGAGAAGGTGTCCGGGGAGCTTCTGGGAACCCAGTAATGCTGTTTCTTGACATGGGTACAGGTGTTTTGGCTTTTACTTTGGAAAAACTCTTCCAGGGATTTGGACTTTCCTACCACTCTCCTCCTGGCTGGTTCCTCGCATCCTGCACTCCTCAGGGAGGCCTCCAGTGACCCCTCCACTGGGGGTGGGATCAGTTTCCTTGCTTTGGAGTTTCATCAAACCTGCCACCCCTACCCGCCTCACGGCGCTGATCCCAAGTGAAATCACCTAGCTGTTCTGCGGTTACTGGTTGAGGGAGCCTCTCACATTAGACTCCTAAGCAACAATGCTCACTGTGTCCACCTGGTCTACAGCTGTGTGTGCTGAGCCCAGCACAAGGCCTCATACACAGGGTGGCACAGGGCATTGTAAAGGGACGATGAAGGAACACAGAGGGAGTCAAGCAGAATAGAGGATTTGGAGAAGAGGAGGAGGGGGGAAGGAAGGGGAGGGAAGAAGAGCTGTGTGTCTCAAGATCTAGGTAACTGGAATCATGGCTACAGGCTGGGGAGGGAGAGCCTCCAGGAGTGAGTGAGCAGAGTTTATCATGAGTGAGCAAAGAGGATCCTGAGACAGAAGTCTTTCCAAGGGAAGGTAGGTTGGTTCAAGGACTATAGCCTAGGTTCCTAAGGTGAGGTTGCAGACCCTGACCCTCACCGCTTTCTGATTTTCTTAAGGCTCAGAGGACAGTACAAAAAAGAGCTATTTCTCTATCATTTCTCTAGGACACAGAGCATGAGATGCCAGCAGTGTGGGTGCAGGGAGAGGCAGCACCAAGGACAACCCTTACATTATAGAGTAGGGGTGGGGTGGGGTTGCAACACTGTGGCAATGAAAGCATCTTACTACAGTACTCAGGAACAGCCCCAGCAGCCCGACTTGGGCGGCCACAGCAGGATCTCTGCATTTGTTAGACAATGGAGGCCTCTGGGTGTCCTTGACATAGCTGCTGTCACATGCAAGGAAAGAGATCTGCCTCAGGAGAAGGGGCGGCCATGGCAGGTGCCACTGGGGAACCAAGGGGCTGCATCTCAGAGCAGGATGTGAAGTGAAGGGCATTCCTTCAGAGCAGGAAGTCCCATTAGGAATTTACTGTTAGGTGTTACCTGGTTTATGGCCCCAGCCTGGAATTCTCTGGGAAACACAAATCACTGAGAATTGGTCTCTAAAGAGCACAGACAGGTCGGGAGGAGAGCGCCAAAGAATCCAAGAAACCAAAAAAGCAAACAGCCACTTGGATTTGTGAATAGGTCTTCCTCTCAGGACCCCTCGCCTTTGCCATCCTTATCATACAATTATCACCCAAAGAGACTTGTCTCCTGGCACCCAAATCTCCCTCGAGAGATATTTCCCTTTGAACTCAATACTCCCAAAGACCACTCTAGGGACAAAGGCTCTTAAGGGGAAAAATATTTCATGAGATGAGAGAAGACAAAACCATCATCAGTCAGTTGGAAAACACCCAATTATTTTCCTTGAGGCACCATCTCAATATAGGCTTGTGTGGGTGGGGCTTGCGAACACATTTTCTCACCTTTTTATTCCCAATATGCTGGCTTCCAAATGTTTTTGATGAGATACCCTATTAGTAAAATTATTTCAAGCAGGTACCACAAATATAGGCATGTTTATTCATTAACCGTCTTTATATAATAGTGTGTGTATTGTATTTAGAGTGAATGTTCTAACAGCATACGTCCCCAAGTGTCCCACTAAACAAATGTGAGGCAGACGGGGCAGGCACCATAAACCTCACTTCACAGATTAGTGAACTAAAATTCAGTAGGGAAGGGACCTATCCAGGCTATAAAGCTAGAATTTATGGAATGAGATTGAAAGCCACCTCTGCTCAAGCCAGTGACCCCTACTCACCCACGGTGCTGTCTCCCAGGGTGGTTTGAGCCACATCTCACAGGTGCTCTGATTCTGCCTTCCGTGTTTCATCTCTTCTCAGCCATCCCAGTTTGGAGAAGGTCCCATGTTAGTTTCTGGTGATTTTCACATTTTTTTTTCCTGCCTTACTGATTTTATCAGTATCTCTGATAACACAGGTGAACTATGCCATCAGGGTTCTGGAATCAGGAAGCGTGGGCTGTTGATGCCTCATCTCTTGCTCCCTGACCCATCAACAGATGATGCAGAGACCATCTCCAGGTCTCGCTGGGTCCAGAGCTAAGGAGTTCTGCAATTTATTTGCAGAAGGAAGATGCTCTGTCCAGTTGAAAGGATGTGTGCCACGATCCTCCTTGAGTGACCACTCTTGACAGGAGGACATGGCACATGTGCTCCCCACACTAGAATGTGGCATGAAGGAGAGTTACTTCCTGGAGTCTTTTCCTGGCACTTTCTCCCGTCTCCTAGAAGGGCTTTATAAAAACACCAATTTCCTGAAGCAGAATAGAGATGAAGATGAAGAAATATCTGGAAACAATGGAAACTACAATCAAGGCAGTCAAGAAGTGGGTATCTGGAAGCATCCAGAAGTGAGGTGGGGTCAGGTGGGGAGAGGGCTGGGTAGAGGACATGGGAGAACTTGCTGTTAGAACCCATTATTGGCCGTCTCTCTCTCCAGTGCCAGGGCCTGGACACAGAAGTCACTGTTTAACTAAGGTGGAGCGGCAGCACCTGGCGTGCCCATATAAGGAAGAGCCCAGGGAAAGAAACAAGCAGATGCCAGGACTGCCAGTTGGCCCACAGCTTCTCTGAAGGCTTCTCCGCAGTCACCACTGCCACCTTACATCACACAGAACTGCTCCTGCTGAGGCTGTGGGTCTGGGTCCCAGCTGGGTTTCCTGCAGGAATACTGTGGTGGATGCTGCTCCACCAGACGCACCTGTGAAGGACACAGGTAAGGTGTGAATGGAGATCTTTTGGGGCTCTGAACCAGGAAGAGTCTTCTAGAATTAGAGTCTCCTAGAAATGTGATTCAGTAACTTGGAAGACCAGCTATGTGTGATCAAAGTGGTCCTAGAAGATGCTTTAAGAATGAGGGCAAAGGACGAGTTCACTTTCTAGGAGAAGCGTATAGAGATTGTGCCCAGTTACTGCAGAGAGAGGACCTCACAGTCACTGAGCCATCTTTGCCTTCTGCTCAAAGTCAAAGCCTTGAGTGCATCATGGACCATGAGAGAATTGTGCCCCTGTGTTCCCCTATGTATCATTTCTGACCTGTGTAAGTGCTTTAACAAAAATTTGCTAAAAGGAGAAAGGGGGCCCAGGCCTTCTGTTTTCTAAAGATGTAGCAGAATGGTTACATGAACAAAGTGGCAAAGTCTGGACTAATCACAAAAGACAGATCACTGCAGTTTCAGAGAGTCAGATGCTTCCCTTCCCCCGACAGCTATGTCAGTCACAGATTGGTCCCTGTGGCTGCTGGAGTCGGATCATTTTTGAAATGTGATGCTGTTCTCAGGGAGATAGTCCAGCTGCTTAACTTAAGCTCAAATGCAAATGTTTTCCAACTTCAGTCACCCTAGTCACTGACTGCCCTGTTTGTCCTGGGTCACAAGAAAAACTTTGTTCATCCCTAAGAGACATTAAATGGATCTCTGACCTGCACATCTTCTTGAATTGCTCCACCACAGGGGGCATTTTTTTTTTTTTTTGGTGGTGGAGGGGTGCATGGTAGCTGTAGGAAGGTTTACTTGTTTGTTCATTCACTGATGAGAATATAATAACCTAACAATTTCTAATAGGCATGAGTTACATGTAGCATGAGCTCATGGTTCTCAAATTATAGATGGACAAAGCATCTACCAGACACAAATGACAGAACTAAAGTTCTCTCATACCTCAATTTGTCCCATTAGCTGATAGTGTTCAATGGCCCATTTGGAAGAACACCTTAGAAGAAGAGGTGCTATCAAGAAAGGCATTCACTAATGACCCGACTCCCGGGACTGAGGGCATATTCTGTGTCATGTATTGTGCCTGCTACCCTACTACATGTGAGCTGAGGGACTCTGGGTCTCAGTTTTCTCATCGCTAAACTGTGGTAGCCATAGTATCCACCTCATACCATTGAAAAAGTTAGATGGGGTTGGATATGAAAAGTACTTAGCTGTATCTGGCTCATGGTAAGTACCCAAGAAATGTTAGTTATCACTAATGATATTTCTTTAGACTGGTTCTCTGTGAAGCAAAGCCCGAGGTGAAGCATCAGCAACATGCACTCACTTCCCTGGAGCTGTGATACTTGGGCAATGGGAGTGAGGGAAATGGGAAATAAGCAGAGAATCATGGGAAGCAATGCAGGCCACCCACCCAACCTGTCTTCACCAAGAGGCATGGAGGTCACTTGGCAAAGCAGGCCATCTCTGGGCTAGCTTTTCATAAACATTTTGGCTTAGAATAGAGAGAAGGTGGAGAGGAGATGATATACTGGCTCCTTGTCTCCTCCCTCGTCTGGTTCAGAGGAGTTTTCTCTCTTGCTTTCCTGGCTTGTGTCATTTTGCTCCCTTGGCAGCCTCTGAAAACTCAGATCTTCTAGTCCTTGAGGCTGAGGCAGAAATAACCAGCAGAGCCATGTCCTTGGCTAGAGTAGAAAAGGAAACTTCGAGACCTGGAGACAGGTGAGGCTAGAAGAACCTGAGATAGCACTGGAGATACGCTCAATGAAGATCAAATTACCATGGTTATTATTTTCTGAACCCTGGGCCAAGAACTAGTGTTTCCTGGGGTCACCTCTTTCTCCATAAAGAGAACTGTGAAGGGTCATCTGAAGTCAGCTGCTCCATCCCGTTTCTCCTCAATGTTTGGAAGTCCGACAGAGTACATTCTCATGCTATCAAACTTCATGGTGGAGCCTGCCACTGATAGGTGGTAAGGAAGCCCAAGACCATACAAAAAACACCAGAGCAGAATCAAGAGGGGAGTGTTGTTTTTCTACCACCCTCGAGACAATAGGGTCTCCTTATCTGTGGTTTCTGCATCTGTGCATTTGACCAACTGCAGCTCAAAAAGATTGGGAAAAAAAATTTGTGCTGAACAGAACAAGCTTCTTGTCATTATTCCCTAAACAATACAATATAACAACTGTCTGCACTGAATTCATATTGTGTTAGGTGTTATAAATAATCTAGAGATGTTTGAAAGCATACAGAAGAATGAGCATAGGTTATATGCAAATACTATGCTTGACAGTCCTTGAACATCCTCAGATTTTGGTATCCACAGGATACTGCACTACACAGTGTAGTCTTCTCAGTATCCATTGGGGGACAGGTTCCAAGACCTCCTGTGGATACCAAAATCCGAGGATGTTCAAGGATTGTGCAAGCATAGTATTTGCATATAACCCATGCTCAGGATACTTGGGCTAGGAGAGAGCCAGGGTTCTGGAGCTAACATCCTTACTCCACCAAATAAGCCCAAGAGGCTTTAAAACCACGAGTGGTCAAGACCCTTGTTTGCTTTTCCTCTGAAAGAATGGTCCCTTGGGCAGCAGTCTGTCCTCTGATCCTATTAGGTCAGCCCTGCCAGGCCCACCTGCCAGTCCTGAAGATCAGCCTGACCAGGACCTCTCCTTACACACAGAGAACAAGCGGACCCCAGCACACCTGAAGACCAGAAACATGAGGGGCATCCTCTCCCTCAGAGTCACCTCACCTGCCTTCAATGGCCACACCTGGATCCAGTGGACTATCAAGGGCCTGGGGTGGGAGAAGCAATGAGGTCCCAAGCCATAGGAAGCGTGCTCCTGATCTCCGTTCAAACACTGGCTTTCCCCAGCAAGCCTTCACCAGCTTGCTGCCAGTGTTAAGCTCCACTAGGACTTTTGTGGCATTACCTGGGGGAGAAGTTCAGGGCAGAGACTTTCTGAACAAGCTGGTTCCCAGGACTCTGGTGGGCAGGCTGGCCCATTCCATCAACTCGGTCCATCTTGACCCAGCTCTGCTCTCTCTGTCTCACCTGTCTGTGAACCGAGTCTATTCCCTCAGCCAGGTTGCTTTCTCCAAAGGGACACAGGCCTTGCCCACGGCTCCCTGTCAGCCACATCTGTACTAGAAGGCTGTCCAGGCAGCAGGAGGGCCCTTCTCAGGTAGAGGCTCCCAGGCCTGTCCACCCTCGCGGACCTGTCCTTCCCTCACCTCCCCTTCGACCTCCCCACAAGCTGGTTCTGTCTGTTCCCCTCTCTTTCCTTCTTGCCTGAAGCCCCTCCTGCAAACGCTCCGGCCCCCACCCCCACCCCCACCTCGGAGTTCTAAGGGGTGGGAACAGATGAAGGAGGAACACGGGGCCCCTCAGAGGTTCTGCCCTCCCAGCAGCTTTTCTTTGCTCCTCTCTCGCACCCACAAACGCTTGTTTCTTCCGCACTGCTCCTTGTCATGTTTAATCAGAAAGCTTTCACTTTTTTCCCTCTCACTGGTCCACACACCCCTGTCCCTGACCCCAGAGGTGTGACTCCATCTGCTTGGATGGAAGCTTTGTTTTTATCAAACCATTCCCCCCCACCCCCACCCATCTCAGAACATTGAGACCCTTGGTTCCATGCCCAGCGCCACAGAAAAACAAAAACAAAACAAAACAAAGGCACCTGGGCCCTCCTGAGAACCACCACAGGGTGACCTTGAGCTCCTGGTTGGGACAGAGATGGCTCCCTTGGCCAAGGTGCCTGGCTGCTGATGCTGCTTTGGTGTTTCTCCCACCCCTGCCCCATGGCTGGGGGGGGGGGCATTGGCAGAGCCAGGCTCCCACTCCCAGCTCTGCCCATGACCTCTGTGGCTGCCAACAGCCTGAGATGCCCAGAATGACCAGGCCCAGGCTGGTGTGCCTGAGGTAACCAGGCCAGAGGTCCACCTGCCAGCTCAGCCGCCTTTCCTCCCTGCTTGTTGTAGGCAGCGCTCCCGGTGGAGGGGTGGAGTCTCAAGGGCTCCTCCCAGGGGTACAGCAAGCAGGTGCAAGTCTCTTTTCCTGCTGTCCTTCAGTATTCACATAGGATGGATGAGGCACAATGACAGTGGGCCAGGGACACCCGGGCTACACGTGAATGGCTGCCTTGTTGTGTCTTTGCCCTTCATTTCATCTTGGCCTTCCTTACTGTCCCTCTCCCCACTGACTGGCCCTTCCTTTCTCTCTTGGCTCCTCTCTGGGTCTCCCTGCCCCACCTTCCTGCTCCCTCTGCCTTTATCTGCCTCATCTATTTCCTTTCTCTGTCTCACTTCAATGAAAGAGTAAGAAGATAGGCCAAGAGGAAATTCTTCAAGAATAAATGGATAATCTAATTGTGGCCTCAACTTCCAAAAAGCCTTTGGAAGGGGCAGGGAGGGGAAAAGACGCCTAACCCAGTCCTCTCTGGTTCATGCCTTTTGGAATAGATCAGGTGGGGAGCCTAGGGAGCACTGGTCCAAAACAGAAGCTCTTAAGACCCAGCATTTGAGGTTGACAAATGGGCCCCATCCTCCTAAGTGCCCCAATTGACTCAGTAAGTGAACAGAACATTCCTTCACCATGCCTAGAAACCTAGGAAAATATCAAATATTTCACAGTGTCTTTGAGAGGCATATAATTGCAGAACCCAGGGAGAATGCTCTATCTACTTTGTTTGTAGAACACAGTTGACTGTCTACTCAAGAATGTTCTAGGCCTCTTTCTCAGTTGAATGACACATATCAAAGATGTCTAGAGGGGAAAGAGGAGAATAGTTTTATGCAAAATGTGTTTTTTTTTTCATGTTGCCACACGATGAGCCTAAATTTAATGGCAAAGAATAAAAACATTCTGTGGGTTCTTGTTTTATCATCTTCCCAACAATATCACTTAGGCCTTAGAAGAACCCATATTCTCAACTCCAGAAGCACAGAACATTAGGGTTGAAAAACACCTAGAAAAGGAAATCCAACCTTCTTA